TCGGTTATAAATATTAAGGTAACTTTAGTATTTAGCTGAGCTTTTTATTGAGAGAGGGAAAGACATTGTGTATAGTGTCTATGAGTGAGCAATGGAGGAGCTACCTGGGATCTCTGCCACACGCTGCTCACACGCACCCCACATGCCCTGACACACACTGTGGTCGTCTCGCACATGTGCACATGTGACCAGGCCCGGCTCAGGGCTCTGAGGCAGTCACAGCCCTCCAAGGGCCCTCGCCATGTGCGGTTGATTTTTTACTTTGAAGAGCCATCACGGAGTATCTATAAGCAGCTGTATCATAATTGCTCACACTCAGTGAGACCAGTTCAGAAGAAATTTATGTCCCCAAGACTAACAAAATGCAAAGGCACTACTAACCAAACGACTGTGAGGAACAAATCAAAGTCGATTTAAAGAGAACTTAGTTAGAAGCGAAATTTAAATAATTTTGCTTTTTAAAATTAGAGGGCTGGGGAGATAGCTCAGTGGAGTTAGTGCTTGCCTGGCAAGCGCAAGGTCCTGAGTTTGATCCCTGGCACCACCACCAAAAAACGTGCCAGTCTCACCCCTGGGTATGCTGAGCCGGCCACTGAGATCAGGTGTGGTGGTGCACACCTGTAATATTATTTAACATTTAATATATTTCATATTAGATTTTTGTTTCTTTATCTTAACATGTACATGTTGAGAGAGCTGGGAACATCTTATGTGCTCAGATATTATCTTTCTTCTAACAAAAACACTGAAACTACCATTCTAAAAATACTCTATTGCTCCAGACAACCACAGGAAAAATAATATAATGGTATAATTCTAAAAAATTTCCCACTTTGACCTTTGATTCTATTAGTTAAAAATTTCCTTTGACAACCTCCAAGCCTGTGAAAAAAACCACAGTGATATTTCAAGTTTCATGTCATAGGTGACAAAGGTTTGTCACCAGTTTACATGGTGAGTTGAGATAAACACTGTGGTTACTTAAACAGTATGGCAGGAAAAAATACCTGGCCACTTGTTTCTGTCTTTTCTGGTCACTAAAAGCCAACTGAGGACACATCAAAAGAAAAAGAAAATTGTGTATAATATGAGTTTGTTCTTTGCCAATTTAAGAGCAGTAAGGAAGGTGATCTTTCTGCCACAGGAAAACAAGAGCCCCATGTGTGAGGCCGAAGTGGTCATCCTGAAGCTCCAGCTCAACAGTTATTAGCCGCCGATTGCTTAGCAAGTCCATTTGGGGACTTTGAATAAAGGAAATCTTTCCATGGATCTATACAAACTTGTGCAGCAGGGTCAGTGGGGAAATGCCACCCCCAGACATACAAGTGCGTATCTCAGGCCCGAGTGTTGAAGGTTATAATCATCTAGTTATGCAACATTAAATTTCAATGTTATTCAGGTTTCCCCATAGCTCAAAGAACAAGTAAAGGTCAAGAATCTGTAGAAATGCCATCCAGTTCTCCAGCTACACAAGAATACTGAATATTGACAATGCCAGAATTTAAAATTAAAATGGAACATAATAGTATATCAGGAAAGCTGAAATGTCAGTAAAATTCCTGTGGGTTACTCAGACAGAATCTATCTTTAGTGACCCAAGAATTCAAGTTGTATACATCTTGTGAGATTTGGAAGGAAGATGAGGAGATGGAAGCTGAGACACCATCTATTTTTTATTTACTCTGGCCTGGATATACGAGGAGTAGGAGGAGAAGGAAGAGGAGGGGAAGAGGAGAAGGAGAAGGAGGAGGAGGAGGAGAGGAGGAAGAGGAGGAAGAAGAGGCTAGTTTCTAGTTTCTTGTGGAGACCTCAGTCTGCTACCCACTGGGATAGGAATGGCTAGTAAAGTCAAAACCTTCTCAGTTGAGAGTCTGTCAGCAGTACCGGCCGCAAGGCATGGAGTGTCTATGGAGTAGGCCCTGAGGTACAGCCTCCTTCACATGGCTCTCACGCCGCGGTCCCAACATCACTGAGAGGAGGAACTGAGCTTTCATTTTCAGCCAAGAAAGCCTTGGGGTAAGTAGACACCTGGCCATGGTCTCAGGTGCAGGATGACACTGCGGTTGAAGGCCTGCTAACAGCCATAGTGTGGTGTCCCTGAGCGCTACCATTTGCTTTCCCAGAGCTCACGCTTAGGACAGGCCAGCCCACAGCACGAACCCAGCTGGTCAAAGACTTGGTTCACTCACTTTTCTGTCTTACTTTCATTTCCTTCTAAACCCTTGTCACTAATATCTTTAGGCAAGAAAAATTGAAATCAAGGAAGAGCCCAAATGAAAACGGAGGGAGGGAGAAAGGGTGAGAGAGAATCCATCTTCATGTGGAGATGAAGAAGAGCACACCAGACCATGACAAGCACAAAGCTTTGGCAGATTTTTTTTATAATTTCTTAATCATAAGTCATGCTGAGGGGGGGGGTCACTGGTTATTCGTTTGGGGTAAATACATTTGTGTGATTAGTTTTATTATAAAACAGTCCACTTCCTGCTATTTACCTGAGGATTGAAAAATAACTTTAATGACTGACTTCTAATTTACTGAGTTCTCTTTTAGTAGATTCGGGAGCTACACTGGGAAGGCTCCCCATTTCCTGTGACATTGCATTCTTTCAATCCCACTAGAAACTTCTTTTTTTGTATTTTAGGGAAGGGTCTACAGGGTATTCAAGGTTTTACTACTAGATCAGACTCGTAGTGATCCGCCTGTTTCCAGCCTCCCAAGAGCTGGGATTATAGGCGCGCACCACCATGCCCAGTCTCAGTTGCCATCTCATCACTCCCTGGGGGCAGGGCCGGCATGGCAGGGCAGGCCCGGGGATCGAACCCCTGGCCCCTGTGCCTGCTTGCAGGTGTTTTAATCCACTGAGCTATTTGCAGAAACTTCTTTATACATCCTTACGTTTTCCTGTTCTCTCCTTGGGCACTAAAGCTTTTATTTATTTGTAATTTTTATTTTTTTGACATCTTTTCTCTGCAGACTCTTACACAGCAGGGCACATTTACTTCAATAGAAGAATGTGGACAGTCCAAGGTTATTCAAGCGATGAATCAAGTCCAGGTTCCATACTAGCTTCTGTGTAGAATGCAAATATTTAAGTAGCTTTTCCCACTCTGTTGGCACACAGAGCTGCTTAACAGTGAAGCTCCAGAGAGGAGAAAAGTATCGTGTTTTTGAACCAGTGGTAGATGATGTTTTATTTGCATTCACAGTTTTCCCACTTGCTAAAATTACTCCAATGCCTCCAGCAGATGCATCAGAAAAAAAGTTCAGGTTGGCCTGATAAGTTCAAGCAAAACTGTGATCATGATATCGGGCTGATGCCCAAGCCTTGGATAAAAAGGTACTTGGTACTCATCAATGAAAGAATTCATATTTGATTTTGCAGGGTTGGCTTTGATTTCTTGAAGACAATAGATTCACTAAGGATCAGTAGTAACTAGATTCTTAGAGAAAATTCTTCAATATCTCCTTAACTTCAATATTGAAATCATGGTATATGGAAAATAACTTTGAAGAAATAATTCAGTCCTGAGATCTCAGATGTAATTTCCTTTATTGAATTTAAGGAGAATTGGATTGTAAGACAGAAAGCTGATGGTTTTGATGGAGCATGTATCTTCTATATTGGTATTTTTCATTAATGACATAGTAGATTGAATTTTGATCTTGTAATCCTCTAGGTGTATTTTAAGACCATAATAATGTGCAGATATCTAAGAATATTACTTGCAAGAAAATGAGAAAAACGTTAAGATACCATTTCATACACCATGGTCTGCAATAATGATTTTAGTTCAATTCTGTCCCCATGTCTCATGCCAAGAAAGGCTGATTTATAAAGCATATTCCCCAATTCAGAACCAGATAATACTGGAGATAATTACTATGCCTGTTAGAGTTTAAGAGCAATTTCCTGAGCCACCGCTTGTAAAAGTGAAAGAACATACAATGGAATGCCTGCTGGTCAGCTAGATACTCAAATAAGGAGTTGTTGCCCACACCCCACTCTCCAGCATCAGGTTAAATAATAAAATATCTCTGAAGATCCCATAGCAACTTTCATCATGTGATTTTGCCACTGTATGGATTCACAAACTCCTTTTAATTAAATCAATAATATCCCAATTTCATATAGTTTATTGACAATGTAATGGCTTTATCACTTAACAAATGGAGCTATTAATATCTACAGCATAATTTAATTTTCATTTGGGAACCAACTTATATTTTTATTTCAAATAAGGAAGAAATTATTGCCCTTAATAACAAACATCTTATGAGATTTGTAACATTAAAAGAACAATTACTAATAGCAAGAATATTGTTTTACTTCTTAAAAGGTTCATTAAATTTTAAAGGAGATTTACCTTTGAAGATTTAATTAATGTATAATTCAACCTAAGAAAGATACTGTTTTACCTTTTGATCAGTCATAGGTACCTTTAATCTTATTTCAGGAAACTACTGCTAATTAATATTGCTTTAATTTTAGGTTCTCTAAATTCAGTCCTGTTTTTAAATGATACTTTATTCTTATGAACATTGGTAAAACCAAATGGGGGAATGAGTGAACCTTGGTAAATTAAAAAGCCTATTAACAAATTTAGGTCATTGTTTGGCTTTAGGTTTAACCTCCCACCTCCACCAGAACTCAGGACCTTGTACTTGCCAGGGAGGCCCTGTACCATTGAGCTATATCCCTAGCCCATTTGGTTTTAAACAAATTCATTCTTTACTCATTCAGCTTTGACTATTTATTTGTATAAATTTTCAGTTTGGTCATACATAGAGATAAGTGGAAAAATTATAAATAACTCTACATGCTAAAACAGAACATTGCAGAACACCCTAGAGAGTTAGTATGAGGAAGACACTACTATAGCATGGCGAGTTTAGAAACAAAGGTTTTCCCTCTTGTTCTAGCTTTAAGAAATCAAAAGACAGCCAGTCATTTCTTATCTAAATCTTTATTAGAAGAAAAAACAAATGTATCTAAAACAATGAGTAACAACAAATTTCATTCAGTATGAAACATCTTAGTTATCAAAGGTATTTCGACAATACGACCCTAATGGTTCTGCACAGCAGAAGCACACCGATTATAGAGCTCAGACTGTCATGCCCTCATGAGTTTATTTTTGGCCTAAGAGCATCTAACGTCACATTTCAACAAATGTGATGCTAGATTAACCATTGTTACTTCATGTTGATTCTCAAATCGTTCACCAACTGTCACCATGGTTGACATACCCTTAGGATGAATGCTTTTATGAATTCATTCTCTTTAAAGTTAGTATTACTAGTCAACTTGTTTCAAAGGGAATGAGAAAGTGGTCCTGCTTACAATCAACATGTTATAAAAAAGCTGTTTTGTATCAAAAGTTAGAAAATGCGAGACATACATAGAACAGCCTTTGATGAAAGCCATCATATATAATGGAGCTATTGAGTACGTAACACCTGTGAGCACCCTTTCTGGGGTAACATTTCCCTTTGTAATTCCTAGAAGTTTCTTTTTCTAGTAGGTGTGAAACACAGAAAGATGCAGTTATATACCTATTGTGTTTTTTAAAGATTGACTATACAAAAGACTATTTCTAAAAATTTCTTTTAATAAAAACAAAAGAAAGCCAGCAAGTGTCCTTTCTGTCAAGTGTTTGTTTTCCTTGCGTGTAGCACACATTCGTGAATGTCCACGAGGCACGAGGGAATTTTCCTTAGGCCCTACCACGTGCTCTGACACGGAGAATATCAAACACTGAGAAATGCCCAGTGGTTTCCAATCAGTGAGCAACAGGAAAACAGTCGCAAGACTTGTCTTCATCACTAAACTACGCAGGTTTTAATTTTTCTTAAACAATGTTTGTAAACTTACCCACCAAAGCTGGGTAATATTAAATAGCCAGTAAGGCACTTAGTCAGAGGACAGAGTAGTAATGGTTGAACAGTTGAGAATTTGTCTAACAGGAAACACTGTATACGTACCAAAAGACTGGAGTGAGGTGGTCCTATTACTGGTTACTGTCAAACAAGAGTGGGGAAAGCTTTAAAAATGTTTACTTCACTTTGTTTACCAATTTTCCCTGCAGAAGAAGTCATTTAGCTATAATCTTAAAAATATATTAGGAACTATCCATGTAATTAACATATCCTTTTTCCATTTAATATTTAAAAGAATATTAACATACCCAGTAATATTTTCAAAACATCCAAGCCACTATATTTAAAAATGAATTACAAAACGAAAGGTCTTAGTATAAAAATGTTTCATGTTATTAACAATTTCATTGCAACTTTCCATGGCTTCACATTTTACAGTGTAAGCTTTGGTATAAAACATGCAAATGCAAGCCAGCAAGGTCGTGAGCGGTGTCCCTAAACACCGAGTGCTTATGGAACAAGAGTTGCACAGACAGCAGAGGACGAAAAGGTGACACACGGCTGCGAGGTGGTGTTTGCTCCTCCACTGGTCTTTAGTTTATGAATCTTGCTCCAACAAAATCTTCATCAGAGATGGGCTCACGAAAAAGGGTCTTGCAGCCGAACCTTCGTTTCTTTCTAAATCTTCCACTAGGAGGAAGAACGGCACAAGTAACTAACAAAGCAGAACCGTAAGGGAACTAATACCGCCATCTGCTGCACACTCGCGTTCCAGCAATTCGAGATGCCGCATTGTCAAAACAGGACAGTTTGGCATCAGTATTATTGTAAACATAGATAGGAGAAAACAATCAGCCCTTGTTACTATGACAGCAAATCATGATCTTGTTCTGTGTTCCAGGTCAGATTCTGTCAATATTGCAGGCCGTTCAGGTGCGTGATTGAGGAAATGACTTTTATTTTCCTTCTTTTTTTCTCGATTTTCTTTCTAAATGACCATATGCATTCAAAATTGCTTTCTTTCGTCACCAACGACTTTGATGATACAAGCTTGAGAGACAGTATTTGTAAAATTTGAACATACAGTGTTTCAAATCTTTCGACTGCAAGCGGTGAGAAATACTGCTGTTTTTCCACACATATCCGTGTAATTGCTTTGTCAGAAAATGGCTTCTAAATGCCAAAACACTGCTCATTTTTAATCTATGCATTTAAGTTACACAAAGAAGTAACAAACGGTATTTTTTCTGGCTGGAAATAAGCCCATACAAGAGTTAAACCGGCCAATAGTGGCTCACATGCTGATCTATATTTTATTCCAACTTTTACACATATCAGAATTAGCTAGAGTATTCTGTAATGTTTTACACGATGCCCACTGCCAAACGCGGTGGGCACAGGTATCTGCACGGATAATAAGCTCACGGCGGAAGTCACTCTTCTACTAGATTTTTATTCTGGCCCTTATATTATTGAGTAAGAAAGTAATAAGAGAAAAAAATCTAGAAAGAAAAGCGATCACTCTTCCCTGTATTGTCCTGCAGTGCTAATGAGAATGAAGAAGGCTATTTGCCAGGAGGTGAAGCCAAGTGACATTTTTACTCCAATAATCTTCAGAGCATCACTCAAAAATAAGTTGGCGATCATTTTAAGGACCAATATTTAAAAATTTTCCCTACTTACTGGCTTCTTATTATTTAGCTGCCATGAAATCCATCTAAGTTCTACACTGCAGGATATTGAATAAAGTAATATTTGTATTAACTCGATTGTCTTGTTGGACGAGTGCATCAGGATCCAATCGACATGTTAAGCCAGCATATTCCTTGCTGTTATTCACAAGATTGGCGTTAAGCCAGAAGGATTGCCGATGGATTCGAAGCTCCTTTGGGGTGCATTTTTGCGCTGTCAGCTACATCCTATGCCTTTGTACATGGGACGAACAGACAAGGTGTCTGAGCATCTGAGTCCTGCCTTGCCTGACCATGCAAGTATTAGACATGTCTCGCTGGAGGGTGGCTTGTTGCTCTGGCCAGCAGCAGAGGAGTGTAGATGACCTTCCTCTTCAGTCCTAGAGCGGGAGATTTCCTGACCTCACATATGTCCCTTGTAAAGGTCATCACGTGTGATCATCTATCTCACCAAGGTCAACCATATTTTCCCTTAGCATAAAATCTAAACTGTCTTACTCATCTTTTCTCTTTTCTCACTGAAAGTTGAGCTAAAATTAAACCTTTTTCATAAAAAGTCCACACAATCTCTTTAATCTAGAAATACAAGTATGCTCGTGAAAAGAAAAAAAAAATCTCTCATTTGAAACAAATCCATACTTGTCTTCCATAAAGTGGAAATAGGAAGTTTGTGTTAGAGACCAGGGGTATGAATTACAAAGAATCTTATTTGTGTAGATTTTTTTTTTTTCTGGGCGGAAGCGGGGATCGAACTCAGGCCCTTGCGCTTGCCAGGCAAGTGCTCGTTCTACTGAGCTTCCCTGGCCCCTCTTAGAATATTTTTATGGTGGCCAGAAGCTCATACTATTCTAGGACTCAAATTCAGCTTCAATATAAATATAAATACAAATCCACTAAGACACAATGAACTGTGGAGGTCCCACGGTAACTTCTGCCCAGTACTGTTCTCTGTAGAACCTGCCTGACCTTAACATCTAGATGTTATGGACTTGATTCATTTACTAAAATATACTTCATAAGGAACCATTAATACACATTTAATCACAGTTTAGAGTTGCCCACCAGCTTGAACAGTATAAATATAACAGTAGCACCATATTTACAAATGCAGTATCTTATGCTGGTTAACTATAAATCAATATTTTTATGGCTAGTTGATTACACATTTATAGTGCTTTCAAAAATTGCCTGAATATCCTTTACAAATTTACACTTATAAAAAGAAAGGCTATCAAAGTGCTGCTGTGAAAACAACACACTGAGTTACAAAAGTTATGAAAACACTTTCAGATATAAGTTTTTAAAAATGTTTGACATTAATACTTGACTCTTTTGTGGGGACCATCATCTATAAAGTATGCCACTTCACAGAGGCCTTGGCCATCAGGTGCCTGGCCACTCTACGGTACCACGTCCTGGCTTTTTCTAAAAGTAGCTCAGAAACTTCACATTACTCCAAAGGACCATTTTTCAAGTCCAGTTGACCTAATTCACAAAGCATTGACTTAAAAGTGGATGCGCTGTTTGGAGATTTGCTATTCTTTCTGCTTCTGCGGGACTGGTTGCTTCTTGACCAGGATCTCGTGCAGGCTAGGGGTTATGAAGTAGGGTTTTTCTGCAGATCCATCATTCCTTTCCAGATCTTCACCTGTGTTGGCAGCAGCCAAGGCAGGGCAAAAGCAGCAAGCAGCAGCAGAGCAATTATGTGTATTTTTATAAATTGGAGAGTAGTTCAACCGGGGGGGGGGTGGAGAATCAGAGATACCGTTGTTAGAAAGTAAAACAGAAGACAAATTAGAAAAAAAAAAAGAAGACAAATTAGTTCAGTTAAATTGTTGATGCTGGACAAGACAAAAAGCCCTAACCTCTGCTATAAAGCACTAGACTTTTTCCCTGTTTTTTTTTTTCTCTAAGAGTTTTTGTTTTTTTTGATGGAACTGGGGATTGAACTCAGGCCCTTGCGCTTGCCAGGGAAGTGCTTACTTTACTAAGCCATCTCCCCGGCCCCTCTAAGAGGTTTATTTTTATATTAACAAAGTTTTCCATGTCCTCCAAACATTTTCACCTTAAGTCCTGTGCCCACTCTTTTCAAAATATGTGAATTACCACAACCTTGGGTATGAAGTGAAACAGAAAGCGTGCTAAGAGCAATAGTTGCATTTGAGAGCTTAACATCACTTTTAGTAGTAGTTCTTATGTGGCTGTTGCAGATTAATCAGCTGAATCAGGGATGTAAAGGACCCCGCTGAAGCTGAGAATTCTGAGGTGAGGAGGAGGAGGAGGAGGAGGAGGAGGAAACCCAGTCTCCTGGCACCTAACGCAGTCTGCATCCTACTTAGCTATGAAGTGCCGTGCTCTAAACCTCTGTGGGCTGCCTCAGATTATATTGGAAAGCTTACACTGGTATTTCCTGACTTTGTAGTATGTAAATTCACCTCCCTGTCTTGATTGCTTACAGTACCAGGAAATGGATAGGCTGTTCACTGATCTCCCGGCTGGGTGGGAAAAGCAGCAGAGTCGTGCTCAAAATCAGGGAGATGTTTGCATGGGACTCGGTTTACTGCAAATACACATATTTCATCTCAGACAGTATCTATACTCTTGGGAATGGTGGGATTATTGGTTTAGTAGGTTTTTAAATTAGACCTCAGACATGCATGTGACCTTCCTCTCATGTAAAATGAAAAGCTAAGCAACATGACAGACAAACACTGGGCATTTTTGTTCTTTTTTATCTTTAATCTTATTTCTGTACAATGTCACATATCATATGCCTGTATCATTCCTGTCCTGGAGGTGCTGGGAGGAAGCCTGGTCTAGACCACAGTAACAATCACCTACAACTATTACTCTTTTCAGCAGGATTCTCAGTGTCTTGTGATATGAAAAGATGTCATGCTTCTATAAATAAAGTATTTACAAATGGTTGGCATTTTTTAAAAAGCACAGGTTTGCTGGCAACTAGGACAGTAGATATAGAAAGATACAGAAAGAAATAAAAGTATAGTCTATGCAATCAGAATTTGCCTTGGGGTGTCATTAAGAAGAATGTTTTCCAAAGTATGATGTTACCCATCCTGACAACTCAGGAGGGAGGAAATTCCAGATGGCCTCCCATATTCTTTATTATCAAAGACAGAAGCCTCTGGAGGGAAACTGTTCAGGCCAACACACAACATATGGAATAAAACTGGTAATGTATCTGACTTTCAAGAAGCTGGAAATTTGTTCACAAATATATGTGAGAAATTTCTCATTCAAATTTAAATCCACTGTCCTGTTTATTTATTTAGGTCCTGGATTCAAACTCTGGACCTTGCACTTGCCAGGCCAGTGCTTGCTCCACTGCCCTATAGCCCCAGCTCTTCCACAGTCACATTTAAAATGGACAAAATTAGCCCAAACTTGCAAAGACTGGAAACAAGTAGGTGCTAGATATTTCCTACAGTAAAGCTTGAGGAATACTCTCAGCTATAAGAATGAGGAAGAGCACAGAGGGATCTCTAAACCTTGCTCTCCTGAAGCATCTGAGAGAAGGGAAGAAATTGCTGCATATTCCAGAGTCCCCCTTCAGCCATGTATTTGGAACTACCTAAAGGGCAGGTCTTATTTACGGAGAAACAGGGTCCATTACGACTTTAATGATCTCCACTCATAACCCTGCTGTGCAGTTGGTCCTGTGGTTTATTCTAAAAAATAAATGGCTCTGAACTCAGCAATGGTCTGTCAGAGTAAGACCCTCTGCTTGTCTTTCAGGGATTGTGCAAGGGAAATAATCACTCAGGGTGTGTAACACTATGGTTGATTGGTTGTGTTATTGTTTGTGTGTGTGTGTGTGTGTGTGTGTGTGTGTGTGTGTGGTGCTGGGATTAACTAAGAGCCTTTGCACTGAGTTACATCCACAGTACTTTTTATTTATTTTTTTATTTTAGGAAAGGGTCTACAGGGTGTTTAGGGTCTCACTACTAGGTAGGACTCATAATGATCCGCCTGTTTACAGCCTCCCAAGAGCTGGGATTATAGGCGTGTGCCACCACACCCAGTCTCAATTGCCATCTCAGTGTGCCCCAGGGGCAGGGCCCGCATGGCAGGCCCAAAGATTGAACCCCTGGCCCCTGTGCCTGCTTGCAGATGCTTTAATCCACTGAGCAACTTGGCCAGCCCTATCCGCAGTCCTTTTAAAAAATAATGTTTTATTCTGTTTTGAGGCAGGGTCTTGCTGAGCTACCAAGTTGCCCAATTGGGCCCAAACTTGCAGTCAGTCCTCCTGCCTCAGCCTCCCAGAGTGCTGGGATTACAGTCATGCAGCATCACACTTAGCTAGGTTCTATTCTCTTACCTGCTGATTCTACCTTCTCTAGATTTGCCCAAGAAATTCTCCAAAAGTGAGGGCCAGATCAAAGTCCTCCTGGACTCAGGTTCTCTGTTGCTTCAGAGGTGTTCGTGAAATCAAATTATTCATCCTGCGTATGTGAGCTACACTTGCTGCATGGATTCAGAGTGCGGTTCAGCTCGCGGCAGTGACAAAAGCTCGAATGGCGCACCAAGCGCCCAGTCCTGCATGGGTGGGCCACTTCCTTGGTGCTCTCCTCCCTGATCCCTGGGAGTCTGTCCTCATGTTATGTCATGTGAATTTGTCCCAGGTATCTGAAATTGTTGCTTTGTGAGGGGCTTTGTGAGAACCTGCAGAGGTCCCCAAGGAATCCCCCAAACCTGCTTCCCAAGGCGCAGGTGCAACCTCGGTTCTGTTCACACCACACCGCAGAAGCCCACCGCTACGAGGGCTCTGACAGCACAGAAATGACAAGGTGGGATCTTGCTAGCACCGAGCTGTGCACTGAGCTCCTGTCAGGAGAGGAGTCTCCTGTGCTTTGCAAACTCCGTGGCCTCGGCCAGTAATTATTGGTGTGTGGGTACGAGTGTGCTTTTGTACTTTTCTCATCGAAGTATAATTTTCCTCCAGCTTTCTTGAGGTATAACTGACAAAAGCTTATATATTTTGAAGGTATGCAACGCTTTGATACAGATTGGTATTGTGGAATAATTACCACTATCAAACTAGTTAACATATTTATCATCTCACAAAGACGTGTGTGTGTGTGTGTGTGTGTGTGTGTACATGTGTGTGTACAACATTTCAGATCTCACTGGACAATTTCCAAGTATATGGTACAGTATTATTAAATATGTGTGCACCACCCTCCAGCATGTGTCTATCTTTTGTGACTTCACACCTTTTGGCCAACATCTACTCATTTTCCTCAGCCCCTGGATTCCCAATCACCATCCTTTTCCTTGTTTCTGAGTCTGAAGTTTTAGATTCCACATTTATGTGGGATGATACAATATTTGTCTCTCTACCTCTGGCTTATTTCTCATCAGCTATTTATTTATTTATTTATTTATTTATTTATTTATTTTTTAATGTATTTGGTTGTTGCAGGGTCTCACTATGCAGCTCAGATTTGCGATCCTTCTGCTTTCAGCCTCCCAGCACTGGGATTATAGGCATGAGCCAGTGTGTCCGCTCTGGCCAGCTCAACACGTCCTGGGTGCGGGGCTGGAGTGGCATGTGATGCTGGGGATCAAACTGCAGTCCCTGTGCCTACCTAAGCTTGCCTGAGCATGTGCTTTAGTCCGCTGAGCTATCTTGCTGGCCCAGTAGTTATGGTTTCAAAAGAATCTATACATTGGTACCTTCTTTCAAATAAGTGTTGCTTTGCCATTGAAGAGAGCTAACAACAAGTCCACAGCCAGCTAAGGGCAGCAGCCTTCACCTTCTTGTCTCTGGCTACCTACCAAGGCGGCCCTGCACATGGAATACTTACAGAAGCAGAGGAAAATTGTTTCAACACACGTTGCATAGACACTGAAGCAGCCATGGGCAACTAGGTATGATCCCAAGATGACAGTCTGTAAATGTTTAAGGAACAGTAAAGAAGCTATAAGCAAAAGCCAAGAAAAGAAAGCTTTAACGTTCTATGTGCTTTGTCCTGAGAGTTAAACAAAAGGCATGAGAGTACCTGGCTATGGCCTCACTGCTTTCCCCAAAGGCCAACCAACATAACTCAGCTTTAGGATTCTGTAGTCTATGACCATGTACTGCCTGGATCTGAATCACAGATCGTGCCCTCAACAAGTTACTTAACCTCTCTGCACCTCCATTATGGAGTTGGCAGCAGGGATGAAGAGAATGTGACAGACAGCAGTTATGTCACATGGAGTGTGTTCTATACTGTAACAGATGAGGCGGTGGTCACTCACCTAGATCCCATCCAGCTGCTCCGCCTACCCCCAGTTTGGGGAATGTAGGCGGCTGCTGACTCAGCTGCTTCCAGGAACTGCCCTGCCTGCAGGGAATGGCCTCACCCAAGGCCACATTCCACATAAGGCCAGCTTGTGGCTATTGATGTGGTGTGCAAAGGCCCAGCCCCTTTGCCCACACCTCCTCAGACTGCGTCGATGGCCTCAGCTTCTGCCACTGCCCTGGCCTCCCTCCTCACTTCCCAAAGCGTGTGTCTCCAGACAGGACTCCTCATACGCCTTTTGCACGCAGTCCCCCACCTAAGCAGTTTTTTCCAAGGAGCCCAATCTGGAGGGCAAGATGGGATGGACACACAGTAGGGCTTGTACTCTCAGCGGTCATTATGACTTTTCTTCTTAGTAAAATAGCTGACATCTCTGATCCAGCAGAATCAATAGTACTCAGTTTCTATGGAGTACACTGTGCCCTCCCCTGCTAAGAATCAACTCCAAATTGAACACTGAAGCCTGAGTTCCCTTAGGTGATGGAATTGGAAGGCAAGTACTACAGAGACTTTTGACAAAGGAGGCACCTCCTTATGAAATGATTAGCGCCCTTGTAAGAAAAGACAGGGAAGGCATGGTCTCACTGTGCCCCAAACTCTAGGAAGAAGGCCCTCCTGGGGAGCTGATTTTGTGGGACTTCCCAGGCTCCAGGGCAGCCAGGAGTCCACTCCTCCTGTCCAAGCCTCCTGGTCTGCAGCGCTTCTGTTACGGCAGCCCCAAAGGAGTAAGAGGGCAGTTCTTACCAGCAAAGGTACCCAGTAGTAATTTAAAGATGTGGGTCCTCCAAAGTTCACTGGCATCTTTTCTGTAAAGAGTAAGAAGGCCAGGATACCTGTGTGGCAAAGGCAGAACATGTGTGAGTGCATATTATGCATTAGCAAAGTACACAGCTGTGTGGGGCAGGCAGCTTTCTTTCCACACATCAACTTTTCATTATTTATTGTTATTATTACTTACCTATAAGTGCAGAAATTAGGATTTTCCCCAGGATTAACACAAAATGTGTAACTTCATCTGTAACTGCAACTCTGAATATGAGAGAGAAAAAAAAAAGAAAGGTCAATACTATGTTTAGAATTCTCCTGTAACTTGATCTTCTTGGGAATAAATAACACAAGCATCCATTTTGATATGACTTTGCTGAAATTTTGCTTGGCAACTGTTAAATGCAGGAAATGAACACAGCAGTTGTTAAATGCAAGTACAACACGGGGGTGACACTGTCACTTATTTTTAATGAAGCAAATAAGAGAAAGAGAGAGAATGAGAGAAAATGAGAGAGAGACAGAGAGAGAGACAGAGAGAGAGAGAGAAAGACAGACAGACAGAGAGACAGAGAGACAGAGAGAGGGAGAGACACTTTCTCTTTCTGCTTTGAGGAGACACCCTGAGCCCCGAGTCCTAGAGAGGCAGTATGAACTCTTTGTCCAATTAATCATCATTTGGGGAGGGCAAAAGGGCTGGTGTCAGGATGGTGATCGGAGCCATTTCTTAAGCAGAGCAGATAATAGAAAGGAATAAATGACAGTGGGCATAAAAAACCTAGGTGGAAAATGGAAACCATTCTCACATCTAAAAACAAACTGGTGATACGAGACAGGTTTCAACCTCTCTATTTCAAAGACACTACTGGTGCCTGACGAGGCTATTCATTCTTCAGATGGCAGCGTGTCAAGCGGAATGCTGAGGCTCAACAAATTGTAGCTTGTGATTTTCAATGTGATTACTTACTTTAAAATGTTTCTCATCAGAAGGTTGAAAGCATCTCTGGCTGACCTGCAGAAGTTTTTGCCATAGATTGCAATCTAAGGAAGATAATTGATATGATTTCGATTTCAATTTTATGCTCCATCAGGATCAAAAGACAATCCAATCCAATGACAGGACAAGAACAGCAACAATTTCTGTCATCACCCCTGCGGAGACCTCGCCAACCCTCTTGCCACCATTTAGGTTTGTGGGAGGCCTGGGAACTGTGTGCCCCAACTCTGCACAGCTCTGAGTCCCCAGTCACACAAGGCTCTTCACACCCCCGGCTCCTGGGCATTAGGCAGCCTTCAGCGCAAGCTGGTCTTACTTTCATGTCCCAGATAATGGCTCTGTCTTCAAAAAGTTTTAGCTGCAGTCTCTTGTTTAATGGGTTAAACACTGTAGTGGCAACATCAAAATTTACCCAAAAGGCATTCCCAGGCCTTTCACTGTACCTGCTTCACTGATTAAAAGGCTCAGCACAGTACTGCCACTGGAGACAAATTAATGCCTATTAGAATCACCATGACTATTCTACACACGTCTCCAGGCCCTACTCACTGTGACAGTAAGCCAATGTCACAAGGGTGTGGAGTTACAATTTACATCGAGATGTCCCCCAAGTGTCTCATGACCTCATAGCTGGGGCTCTGGGAAGGTGTGGCCCGCAGGGCTCAGCTCCCTCCGGCTCACCTCTGAGCTCTCTGCTTCCGGCCCCTCCTGTGGCTCCTCTCCACTGCAGCCCCCTCTGCCACGCTGCCCTGCCTTGGAGCTGGCTAGAAATGCCCTGAAATCTCTACAAACTGTGAGCCAACATAAACATCTCTTCCTTTAATTTGCAGAGGTTGTGTATTTTGCCCCAGAAATGAAGAAAAGTGACTAAGATATGTAGCTTCTAAATCATAAATGAATTATATTTCTGGATCACTGAAAGTATTTCTCTACTTATTTCCATAGGAAGCAATAACTTGAATCAGTGCCCACTTGTTCCAACACATGATTCACAAAACGGACCAGACTAGCCTTAACAATTACGTAAATCCCAGAATTAGAAAAACAGTTTCTGCTTTCAGTGAAACAGGCTGTATAAGCATTCCTCCCAGTAAACTGCCAAAAACACAAACTAGGGCCCACCAAATAGCTCAGCGGATTAAAGCACCTGCAAGCAGGCACAGGTTCAATACCCAGGCCTGCCCTGCCAGCCTTGCCCCCAGGGCACACTGAGACAGCAATTGAAACTGGGTATGGAAGGGGCCAGTGAGATGGCTCAGTGGAATAAGCGTTTGCCTGGCAAGCGTAGGGGCTTGGGTTCAATCCCCAGTTCAAAAAAA